GATAAACTGTTGAGCCAGGGTTTGAAGGATAACTTAAAAAAATGGGGAGGCTGGGGGGAAGAGCCAGGAAGAAAGAAGTTTTGGTAGCATATCAGCCCACGTGTAGGACAGGCAGAAGACATTGAGAAGTATACAAGAAAAGGAGACGGTTTGGTAGTGTGGAGCAAACATCTCTATGGCAGGTGAAGCCTCCAGAGATTCTGCCATAGGCAGATCCCTCTGTGCAAGGCAAAGAGTATGAGCTTTATCTTGAAAACTGTAAGGGGCCATTGAAGGATATCGTTAAACAGGGGTATAGCATGATTAGGTTTGCCTTTTAAAAAGATCACTCTGTCAGCAATTTACAGACTGTAGGGTTCTACAAGACAGAATAAGAGAGACTCAATATGGGGTAGGCAGTTACTACATATGTTTCAATGAGAATAGATGTGTATAGACAAAGACTGCAAAGAAGATAAAGGTAAGAGAAGAGCTTTTCTTGTAGAGGAATCATCATATGCAAAGTCCTGTGCTAGGACAAATCAGGACAAATATAAGGGATTGAAGAAGGCCATGGTGATGCCCTTGGGTTAGAACAAAGGGAACCCTAGGGCGCAGACCTTGATCTTGCAGGACCTAATGAACGAAAGGCAAGCGAATGTCATTTATTCTTTTTTTTTTTCATCAGCAAATAGTTATTGAGAACCTACTGTAAGCTGCTATTCTGTACTTCCTCAAAGTAAGGCAGCAGCCACATTATTCTTGGAATTTCTAGCATCTCTTTAATCCACAAACACCCAGTAAGCACATACTGCATTCATGCTACTGTCTTCCATGCTAGGAAGGCATACAATAGGGTGCAAAGAGCACAAAGAAGTAAGAAATTTGAATCCCACTTATAGAGAGCTCTGAGTGTAGTGGTGCAGGTAGACACATGAGCAATTAACACACTGATATTAATAGTCCATTTGCCAAATGTTTACCAAGTATGTGGCCATACAGAGGAATACTTACCAGATAAAGCTTTCCAGAGGCTACACTTGAGCTGGATTTTGAAGGATAAGTCACTATACTCAATTGTGTTAAAAGAATGTATATATTTTTTATTTTTATTGTGTGAGTTGAGATTATTTTTCTCTCTCATAGTCATTTACATTTCAAGTCCTGTGCAGTTCATATGCATGTTTTTAATAATGATATGTCTGTAATTTGTTAACCTGGATGAAGATGTGCTGTTACTGGCTAGGTATTGGCATCCTTAAGAATACACAGTATGTATTCTGCTGTCTAAGCTTACTTACTACCATTTCCCCACAAAAGACTTTTGTTTTTAAGATTGTGACCAGGCCTTTTTGCCCTGTGTTGTATGTTCTGAACATGGGGAAAACTGTCCTTTATTTCCCCTGAAAGCACTGTGCTTCAGAGTTGCAACCCACCAGAACACTATCAACTGCTGAGCTTGTATGGTCCCAGATTATCTCTACTGCTGTTCTTCTCTATCTTAAATGCTGATTACATTATGATTATTTTTCTCCTTAATTTTTTTCTTTTTTTGTGACCTTAACAAAATGATGTAGAAGTCATCAAGCAATTGACATATTCTATCACCTGTTTAGACGTTGTTATTTCTCATATATAAATTGCAGTTCCTGATACAGGTTGATATATATTCAATGACTATTAATTGGAAGAAGCTTATTTCATATATGTAAATAATTTTAAGTACATGTATAGTAAGTATGGATAACACAAAGGTTAACAGTCAAGGAAAGGAAAACAACATATTAATCAGTTTTACTTCTGTTTCTAATTTTACTTCTAGTGTTAAAACTCATCATAAGATACACTTTAACATCCCTATACAGAAATGGATAGAATGCTTATCTAGCTAGGAAATATGAAACTAAAATTTAAATGTATCTGTGAAGCTTATATGATGTAGATGTTTGATTGTGGAAAAAGCAGTAGCTTCACAAAAAAAATGTTGGACTTAAAAAGTAGAGAGAAGCTATGGTACATGCAGACAGCTACAGAATATAAAGAACTTTTGTGGAAGAAAATGAACAATGGACTTGCAACACAATAGGGAAAGACACAAGTTCTGTTTTCTGGTTTCTAGTTTTGATAAAATGTGTATCCTTGGGCAAATTATATACTTCTCTGGGAATACCTCCAGATTTATTGTAGAGTCCATTAGACTTAGAGCTGTTTAGTGTCAAAGACTTGACTTAATTTATCTTTGTATTCCCTGTGTGTATGTGAGAATGTTTTGCAAAGTACTCTACAAATATAAACACTGTTAAGTATGTATTGTCTAATCTTCCTGTATTAGTTCTTAAGGAGTAGTGATTTTAATTGATAGCAATATAAAGTTTCAGTTTCTTCATAGACATTGTTTGTTTCAGTTTGTTTCTTTTGTAAACAAAAACTTAAATGTAGGACATGCTAGCTGGTATAAAGCCAAGCATATACAGAGCTCAGTGTAATAATAATGGCTTGTCTTCAGAAACAAAGGATTGTATTACATTTTGTGAGTATTGGAGAGAGTAGGTAAAATATGCTTTTCCCACAGAAATATTGCTGTGAGTGGTGGCTTTGTTCTTAGGCTACTCTGCGGATTTCTGTTTAACTCATGTACCTTAAACTTATAGTGGTAAAGTGATAGGCCCCAATTTTAGACAGTTATAGGCCCCAGATAACATTTCTAATCACTGAACTTGTGGGAACCTCACTACACTTTCCAAGTAGGGGTTATAAGAACATATTTTGCTACTCATTCCTTCCTTTCTGCCACTCACAAGCAGTGGCATAGAGGGAGTGGAGTAGGGATCAGTCCTATAGGTTCCATAAATTTGCTTACTCTTTGTGGCTACAATAAAAGAAGATAATTATCTAGACTGGGAACTCAAAATCAGAAGGCAGAAAGTTATTCCTCTCTGGTGTCATGGTTGAAGTCTCCAAATTCAAGTTTACTGTTGTTCATTCAAAAGGATGGTTTGCAGCCATGAGCACCCATAGCACCCAGACTGGAACCTTTAAATGCCATTTCCCATCTAAAGAAATCAGGTTTTTTTAGAAGAAATGGCTGATTCCAGGTTTGATGCAGAAAAATTCTAAGTTGAAGTGAGACATCTTATTGTGCCAAAACCAGGAAGCTTACTAACCACTTCTGAGTTTATGTCAAAGGACACAGGAATCAACTTGAAAGGGCTACCACTGGTAACAGATGGGGTCATTAAAAAACAAACAAAAAAACCTTTATTTTGAAAATTTCAAACCTATGCAGAAGGAAGGAGAAGCTTATAAAAATCCCCAGGAACCTTTCATGTAGCTTTCACCAATTATCAACTCATGGCCAATCTTATTTCAGTCACAGCCTCACCTACGCTCTTTCTCCACCATTAAATTATTTTGAAATGAATACCCCAAAGCGTATCATTTAATCTGAGACTATTTCAAGATATAGCTCTAAAAGATAAGGACTATTTTAAAAAAATCATGTAATATTTCAAAGATGGACAAATTTGAACATCAAGAAGAAGAATTGTGGTGGGTTGAACAACATTAAGTATCTATTAATAATGGAAATTTTAAAAAAACGCTCATGACTTGCCTTTGGAGATTGTTAGGACACTAGCTAGGTCATCACTCTGAAAATTGTTAAAAGGAAAGAAATCAAGGATTTGTCCTGCCTTTCCTGTACATTGTATTTTGGAATAGTCAAACAGTTGATAAGGCAAAGCTCTTCTTTATAGAATGCCAGCAAATAAATATAGAAGGAATGCTCTAGAAAAGCATAATTCTTTAGCCCCTAATGAAATAGTGGATTTAGCCAGTGGTTATCATGGAATGCTAAAAACCTTCAAGTCAAAAGTTGATAATGAGATGTATAATGGATGGCTCAACGAATCACACCTGAAGTCATTAATGAAAATTAGTACCACCAAAAATGAGATATTTAAACATTATGTACCTACACATATGATAAAGTAAAAATGCACATATCAATACCCATGTAATATTCTTGCCAAAAACAAAGGAAGATGAAAAAGAAACTGAGGCTAAGTTTCCAGATATAGCTACCAATTTATAGGAAATGAGGACAGGATAACATGTTAAAGGGTATGAATGGCTTATAGGAGAGGGAAGGTTGAACTGAGTCCCTTGAAAGAGACCTGAGAAAAATATCTACCAAATACAACATTAACTTTGTTGGGATTCTGGTCGAAAGAAGCATACTAAAAAATCTGGGGAGAAATAGAGGAATATGAATATGGCCTGAGTAATATAAGATATTAAAGAACAATTATTAACTTGCTAGGTATGATAATGACATTTTGGTTATGTTTTTTAAAAAGTTGTTAAAAATACATAGTGAAGTACTTCAGGTGAATCAATAGGTTGCCTGGGATTTGCTTCAAAAACGTAATGATTCAAAGTGTGACCCCCCAAGATTCAGCAGTACTGACTTTACCTAAGAGCTTGTTAGAAATGCAGAAATTCAGACTCAGAAACACTATAGAACCAGAATCTACACTTTTACATTTTTATAAGTCCCTAAGTGATTTATATGCACATTAAGATTGGAGAAGCACAGCTTTAAAATGCTTGGGGTAGAGGAGAGTGTGGGCCGGGGATAAAAGAAACAAAATTGGCAAATACTGTAATTGTTGAAACTGGGTGATGGGTGCATGGGGGTATGATTGAGTATAAGTCAAGTATTCCTAAATCAGGGCCTGAAAGTCTGTGTGACTGTGCATATGTATTCAATCCAGTGATTTCTGGGTTTTTTTGTATTTTTTTTTATTGGTTTGAGAAGTTAGTAAGTGTTGAGATAAATATACCTTATTGCTTCCCTTTCTTCCTGTCCCAGTTTGTCAGGTTATTGGGTAATATTCAAAAACCCTGAATGCATATTTCTTGCAAAAGTGTTTCTTATCAAATCACATTGTTTCTTTAAAATTTGCTAAAGAGCCTTATTTTAAACTACCAATGCCAATTTATTGTCAATCTCTCTCCAGGCACGCTTAAAAAGGCCTCTTAAGAGCCTTGACGGTGCTCTCTATGATGATGATGATGATGATGATATTGAAAGAGCAAGCAAGTAAGTAATGGATTTTGGTGTCCTATTAAGTGGTATGGCTTAACAGCAGAAGTTTTTGGTAATAAAGGGTATTTTCAAGAGTACGCGCTCCTAGAGCTCAGATGTTGCCCTTTTACAGTGTTCTTCAGCAAAAGGACCTTGCAGTGCTCTGCAATGTTGTGGGGGATATCTTGGGACAGGAAACTAAGATGGACCTTAAATATCTTGTTCTTGGAAAGCAATAATGTCTACGGAGATACCTGGGATAGTGTTAAAGGGGCAATAGAAGCCCATCTAAATTAGGCTCTTACTCATTCTGAAGAAAGGAAGGTTAAATATCAGGAATGGTGATAATAGTCAATAGAAAGAAATGGAATTGAGGGTACAGGAGGCAAGTTTATGGTGATATCAGAAGATGAAAATTTAATAAAAAGTGTTAAAAATTAATTTTAATATAAGGGAAATATATGTTTAGCTTTTTGCAATTGATATATGACAATGACAAAATGAACATTCTTTTTCTTCATTAAATATATCTCTGTCTACATAAAGGAATGTGCATTCTCCTCTAAAATAAGTGAATAAATAGAGGAAAACCATATTAAATATAGAAAGTGAATTTAGGCTATAGCAAACTTTCCAAGTAGTTCAATCTAATATTCCTGAAGTTAGGGTCCCAAATTCCACAGAATTAAACTGTGAAAAGCCCTACTTCTACTTTCAGTTTCCTAAGGTACTGTAAACTTTTTACTTGTTCTTAATGCATGTATAAAATATTTCCATATTTGAATTGGTATGCATATCACTATAAAGAATTTGGTCATGAACCAATTATTGATTTTGTTAACTCATTAATGTAATGTAATTGGTGAGAGATTACTTACATGCAGTAAATATGGTTATTTATCTACTACTGTGTGTTTTATTTTTCTTCAGGTTATCTTCTGAAGATGGTGAAGAAGCTTCTGCTTATCTTTATGAGAGTGATGACTCTGTTGAAACAAGAGTGAAGACTCCTTACTCAGGTGAAATGGACTTACTAGGAGAGATTCTTGATACATTGAGCACACACAGCTCAGATCAGGGGAAGCTGGCAGCTGCAAAGAGCTTGGATTTCTTTAGATCAATGGATGACATTGATTATAAACCTACGGTTAGTAGATTTTTTTAACTTGTAAAATTAGAAGAAAATATTCTTGCCTTTGCTGTCATTCTGGATCTTATAATCTTTGTTGGTAGAAGCATTTAGCCTCTAAATAGGTAAGGGTCAAAACTTCAAAAATTTGATAAAATTTAATCACTAGAAATTATTTCTATTAATAAAATTCTAGTATTTTCCCTTTCATTTATCTAGTTCTGGTGGTTATTGTCATAATTATTTTGTCAAGCAATAATGTTTTCTTGCTGTCTAATTTTATACTTGTCTGTGGGGAATTTTTTAAATGTGAAATGTTTTCACTTTTTCCCTATATTTCCTGAGTTGTCAAAAAAATTCACTAAATGTATTCATTCAAATCATTTTTTCTTACCCAAAAATGAACATGATTTTATTTTTTAACATTGTTTTATGCAAATTCAACCGAATGCTATAAAAACAGCAGAGATAGAAGTATGAGTAATGACAATCCTGTTCTTATTGTAAGTGACTTCAGAACTTGGCATTAATTATATAATCTAGTTTGAATTTGATAGGTGACAGCTGCAAGGCAATGGAAACCAAAGTCCATTCTATTTCATCCCTGTTAATAGAGCCATTTGAAAGTGTGTAATATTAACTCTCAATGCTGTATTTTCTCTGAGAGGAACTTAACGCTATTAACATTTATTTCAAAATGAGAAAAAAAGTACTAAATTAATGCTTATTAAAAGTTTTCTGAATTTGTTGTTTCTTCTTTTTTCAGAATAAATCTAATGCTCCTAGTGAGAATAACCTGGCTTTCCTCTGCAGTGGTTCTGGTGACCAAGCAGAGTGGAATCTTGGACAAGATGATAGTGCCCTCCATGGCAAACACCTCCCTCCATCTCCCAGGAAGCGGGTTTCCTCTAGTGGTTTGACAGATTCTCTGTTTATCCTGAAAGAAGAAAACAGTGACAAGCACCTCAGTGCTGACAATGTGAGTGACCCTGTTTCAGGATTGGATTTCCAACTCACTTCCCCTGAAGTTTCCCAGACTGATAAAGGAAAAACAGAAAACAGGGAAACACTAACCCAGATTTCAGATGATCTGCTTATACCTGATCTTGGGCGGCATTCATCGACTTTTGTTCCTTGGGAGAAAGAAGGGAAAGAAGCCAAAGAGACTTCAGAAGATACTGGACTGCTCCATGAAGTAGTATCATTATGTCATATGACATCTGACTTCCAACAAAGCTTGAACATTTCAGACAAAAACACAAATGGAAACCAAGCTTAAATCTTGCATCCAAGCTTCTATGGAGACATTTTGAGATTCAATGCAATCTGCATCATAAACAGAATTATTTGTAGGAATGGCAACTCTTTCTATTTAATTTTTTTTTTTTTTTTTGCATTTGGAACACTTTCCTCACTTGTTCATTTTGAGGATATATGAAATGCATTGATTTTTAAATATAAAGCGAATTCTACTGTGCTTTTAAATCAGGTACTAGTGTGTATGTATGTTAAAAGTATGTATTGAACGTAAGATTTCCCAGTGTTTGGTGCTTAATGCCATTCATTTTATTTAAACTAAGTATGCATATATAACCCATGCACATAACCAGTAGCTACTATACTAATCTGGTTGAGCATGAACTGATCAAGATATCAAAACTTATCAAAACTAGCCTGAAACTGATGAAACTGTTAACCCACTAATTGCCTTAATCTTAAAGCTGTATTAAGCATACTTAAATAATGTATGAAAGTATGTGTAAAGTTTGAAAGATAAGTTATTAGTGTTCTGCAGAGCAATAATGCCTTTTTCTGTTCATCAAATCAAGGTCAAAATTCATCTTTTCAAGATTAAAAAGCTCTTATGGAAATACTTAATTTGCTTACAAAAGCACTGTAGCTGTGTTTTCCAATAAGTATAAAAGTATACATTTACCTTTCATTCAGTGAAATATAGGAAGTACTGAATTTCAATGTGAAGTTAATGACTTCTGTTTACAAATGAGACACTCTAACAAGTTCTCACAGTCTCTCTGTATGCCTTTGCTATTTAGGGGCCCACCCCAAGAAAGCCAAATACAACATAAACTGTCCTGACCAAAAAAAAAAACAAAAAACCTTTTTTAACTAATAATTCTCTATCAAAATGCTTCATATCATCATCCTAAATTTAGTTTTTAAAATAATTGACTTGGTATTTTAGAAGTTTTAGATTTACAGAAAAATTGCAAAGATAGTACAGAGAGTTCCCATCTACCCCTGTTATTAACATCTTACGTTACTATGGTACATTTGCCCCAATTAATGAACCAATATTGATAGTCCATACTTTATTCAAATTTTCTTAGTTTTCTCCTAATATCTATTTTCCACATCAAGATCCTATTCAGAATTCCACATTATATTGAGTTGGAATGTCTCCTTAGGCTCCTCTTGCCTGTGACAGTTTCTTAGACTTTGCTTATTTTTGATAACATTGACAGCTTTGAAGAGTACTGTCAGATAAATTGTAGCTTGCTCCTCTCTTGGAGTTTATTGGATTTTTTTTTCATGATTAGACTGGGATTATGGGTTTTGAGGAGATGATCACAGAAGTAAAGTGCCATTTTCATCAGGTCATATCAAGGATATGTACTGTCAACATGATGTGTGAATGCTGACTCGGAGCTTGATAACCTGGCTGAGGTGGTAGCGTTTGTCACTCTAAAGTTCTTCCTGCCCTTTCCATGCTGTCGTTTTTGAAGGAAGTCACTACATGCAGGAGTGAGGAGTCATAATTCCCCTTCTTTAGGGCAGAGAAGTATCTACATAAATTATTGGGAATTCTGTATAGAAAATTTGTTTCTTCTTTCTCAGATTCACTGTTGAGCTTTGGAATTCGTCTGAGAAGGAATCATGTACTGATGACTTCATGATAGACTGGATTAACAGGTAGAATCAGGGAAAAAAGCAGTGACAGTATGGTTAAATTGTTATTAGCATTTTCAGTATATCCACTGTATACCTGATTTTTTTACATTTCTTTTTAGAAAATATGTTCAAGAAATCATTACAACATTACAAAAACAAAATACTTTCAAGAAACCATTAAAGAACCCCAATAAGACTATATTCTAAATATTTATTGAAAGAATATAATTTCAGTTAAAATCCAAGAAGAGGGTTTGAAATAATTTAAAGAAAATGACCAAGTTTCTTTAAAACCTATGTTTCAAAATCTAAATGGATATGTGTTATTTGGGACACTTATTCATTATGAATAAGAAGACAAGTCTTGTTTCCCTTATAAATATGGACTGTATACATTAAGGAAAACAATGTTTAATCCTTATTTTTTAATACAGAAGGCTCAAGGTTCTTGTCAAATGTTGCCTTTATAAGCTTATTACAAAATTATAACTTACTTTACTGAGGTTTATAATGGAAGAAGTCCATATAGCAAAAGAGCTGTTTTAAATCAAGGAAAGAAGGTCACTCTGGTTGTTAATCTGCTTGGCAAATATTCCTTCATAATTTGTGAAAAGAATGCAAATCAGCCTTTTCATATGGATTTTGAAATGAGGTACAGTTTCTTGTTTTGTTTTTTCAGAACTCAGTCTGAAGAGTAAGTGTAGCATAGGTCAAACTTGGTTTTTAGTCCATTTGCTTAATCGACATCATGGCTTCAGAAATCCAAATTTTGTGCTACTTTTCAGCCACCTTTCAAGGTGTTTGGTTATAATACTGTGTTGTTTTGAGGATATTTAACCACTCATAAATAATTGTCTCAAGGTATTTAAAAGTGATTCGTGCCTTATTTTGATGCAAAATTAGTGGTTTTATTCTGTTTTAAAAGCAAAAGCAGAAAAAAAAAATTCTGCATGTTATTCTTAAAATTATCCAGAATAATACTACCAAATATTTGTATTTCAAACCAGTTCAAAGTCTGCTCTTAAACTTAGACTTCCTAGTATTATGGTGGATACAGTGAGAATGAAGTTAAATTGGGGTGAGTTCCAAAATAAAGGAAAGTGTTATCTTATATTCTACAGTGCCCATATTTTCTATAGTAACTAAACCAAATATTTGTAAGCTCCTCTGCTTTTTGAAATTATTTTTCAAAGAAGCAACACCTGTTATATAACAGAATTGTATAAACTAAAAAGACTTCTGGCGTTAGTACATAGTCTTTATCTGGCCTGTAATAGAGTCATGGTTCTTTCTGAATCCCACTCTCACTTTTTTCTTTTTACCCTTACATATTGCATCCGTGATATTTCAGGGGTATAGAGAAATAGTATTGGAATTTAGGAGCTGTTTTTTTAAGTGAAAATATTACTAAGTGGTATATTTTGATGATTATCTACTTTAGCATGTCTTAGAAAAGCAGCAAAATATAGCATGATTGTTTTTTCAGTTAATTAAAATTCATTAATAACATGGTCATTTAAAAACTATTCATTGCTTTTTGTACCAGTCATATGCAGGGTACAGTAACTGAGGATGTGGGGAATAAAATAACTGACATAGCCCCTGCTCTGAAGGAATAAATTAAAAGGAAAAGGAATTGCAAATTTGTATTAAAATAATGATAATAATGTGCTTTGCCTGGAAGTTATTAGCTGAGATTCTAACATACACATACAAAGTATTTAAAAAACAAAAACAAAAACAAAAAAAAAAACTAGCTGCTTAATTTAAAGCATGCTCTAAGTATGAAACATAGTATCATTTCTAATTTCATTAACTTTCTCAATTATTATGCTAAGTATATTATGCTGCTAAGATACCCACATTTAAAGGGCAGATTCAGAGACTCCTTTAGAAACTGAGTGTCTTTGTTTATCTTATTATCAGATAACCAGGCAGCACAGGGCTCTCTATAGTGGAATGATGCTCCTTTTCAATACTTAGAGCCACTGTACTCAGTTTAGGAGTAACTGAAGGTGTGGATGCATGTTAATGGGAATCCAATTTTTACTATTTTTATATTAATAACAGCATTCTGTAGAAAAAGTCCCTCCCTTCTAAATAAAAACTGTGTGTGACTGCTGTTACTAGTGCTGTTCTATGCGAATATCCTAATAATAGGATTCAGGAATTCTAATGAATTGTTTCTTAATTAAGGTGAAGAAGTAGACTCCTGATCAAGAGGAGAACACTGTGAAATGTCTCATAATCAATAGACCTTCATTCTCTGGTAGAAAATGTGGATTTTCAGGAAAAGATTGATTATTTTCATGAATAAATTTTCTTATACGAATTCCATTTTGTTTGGCATAAAAGACCCTGAATCTTAAGATATTTGTAAATCAGAATATTTAAGAATGTGAAATGAATCCTCAAATCTAGTTTCCTCCAAAGCACTTCTTAATGTAGGAAATAGTTTTTGCAAACCCTATGTCAGTACTAATGTCTTTCCTGAGTCAAGCCCAGTAATATTGTCAGTGAATGTTTCTTAAACCTTATTTAAGAAGAGGCAGAGTGGTTTTGAGCAAGCCAGTTAACATGATTTGATGAAGAAATAAGGAATTATGTACATTTAGACAGAAGAATATTTTATTTTGAAAATAACAGGATTTTGTGCAATAATTTTTCTTGCATAATTTAGTTCATATAAATATGTACATCTGTTTTTCTGGCAGATGCCTTAAGGTCATGTTTTTTGGTATTTGAGTAAATCTGTATGTAGCGATGTTCTCATTGATTTTAGAAAAAATATATTCTTTATATTGTTGCCAGGAGAAATGTTTTTGTTTATTTAAAATTATTATGGATATTATGTTATTGTATCATAACTAACTGCCTCAGCAACAATAAATATGCAATAAGAAAATCCTGTACCTTAGATTAGATTGACAATACTGTTACTTTAAAAGAAATATATACGGTACAAATTGCTGATTCTACGTGTGTACATTTAACAGATACTCAGTTCTGTACCACCTAAATCAAAATGGCATTTGTATGCTGATGACCACATATGTGGATTGTAGTATCCTTTGTGATGCATCTTTGATAAGATTTATAAAGGGCATTGCCAATACTTTTTGACTGTGTAAATTAAGTTAATTTTTTGTATGATGTACAGTTTGTTTAACCTTAGAGCTTCTATAGATTTCTACTTTTATTATACTTGAATGAGGCAGAAAAGCACTGTGGAAAATCTGTAGCTCTGGATGCAACATGCAAACATACCAAAAAATAATAATAATAAAGCAAGGTACTGAAGAGCAATGTTAACAGAATGCTTTATATCCAGAATGCTATGTTTTTTTCAAGCCACATTTTAGTTGAATGGAGTAAAGTTATACAATCTTTTATTTTAAAATGTTGGAAAGTCACAAATGATTACCTCTTTGATATGATGAACCTATAAATCTATTCATCTTTGTTATTTCATTTCTCAAATGTGAGCCTTGTTGAGGTCCATTATCAAATCTAGGCTTTGGTTGATTATATGATGTTTGGGACAAGGCAGAATTTAAAAACTGTGCATGTTTAGTGCATCACATGTCAAGTCACCATCCTTCCGACAGTGTAACTTCCATAAGGTTATTTTGAGAACTATTTAATAATTATATTGAAAAACTGGATTTCTTGAGTCTGTTATAGTTTGGTACTTATAGCAGTGCCTAAAACAGCAACAAATATGAACTGCATGAGTCCTACAACTTAAAAAGTCAGAGGAGGGGTTGAAAATGGAACTTTTTCAAAGTTTATTTCTCTTGCGTTTGATGAAGAACTATTTAAAGGGACTGAAAACCCTGAGCTTTTTCCTTGTCTTGGTAGCAGATATCTGTAAAAACCTACCCAGAATTGTGATTTACTTCATTGTTCTTGCATCCTTGAGGCTACAGTATAAATCATCTCCAGACTTGACTACTATTGGGAAGATGTGTATAAAAGCACCACTTTGGGAATTTTTAAAAAATATGCAAAAATAAATATTGAATTAAATCTCCATTACCATAAAGCACCCAACAATGCAGTTCTAAAATAAAATTGGTCACAATTAAACTTAGCATGGTGATGACTCTTCTTTTATAATTGCCCAGTTATCCCCCAATAGTGTTCTAGCTAGACTGCTGTGAGAACCCTAATACCTGTATCTCCAAG